TGCCATGACTCCATGACAGCACGACATGACCACGCAAGATGACTCCACAGAGCCCATGACATGACCCCACAGAACCCATAAGGACCTTAGTGGACCCCAAAAGGACCCCAAAGGAACACCCCTCATGTCATCCTCTCTACTTGAAGACCAAACAATCCTTGAAAAAAATGCACGTCTTTTCACTTCTTTTCATCATATTCATATCTACTCATTTCTTTTTTCTTTCTATTATTTAACTACTTTCTTCCTTTCTCTCCTTCTCTCTTTATCTTATCTCTACTTATTTCCTCATCTCCACGCCACAAGGAAGTTTTTCAGAAGACGTGCAAGAGAAAAAGATGCTGAACGAGATAATAAATAAATAAATAAATCTAAAATGTAAAATTAATTAACGCCATAATATCAAAGTTGCTGTTATGGAACACTCGCAGTCAGTCAATTAATCAAATTGAAGCCAAATTGCAAACCATTAGCTATAGCATCTACTATAACCCCGGGAGGAGATTATAGCACAATAGCGCTCTCAAGCCGAACTTGGGTCATATATATAAAAAAAAAAAAAAAAAAAAAAAAAAAGCAAGAAGGCAGATTATTCTCATAAAAAAAGGCAAATACCTTTTTGGGTTAATATCCAGCTGTACCATTTTATATATAAATCTTGTCTGTATCTGTACCAGATGTAAAAGCAATTTTTTTTCAGGCCTAAAATTTTGCAATTTCTAGGCCTATAAACCCGAGACAGATTAATAGAAATATGACATACCTTGTCAGAATACAATATTGTGAAATGAACATGGGTGCACTTCAGTGTCTTATTGAGGGGGAATCTGTGTGTGTGTGTGTGTGTGTGTGTGTGTGTGTGTGTGTGTGTGTGTGTGTGTGTGTGTGTGTGTGTGTGTGTGTGTGTGTGTGTGTGTGTGTGTGTGTGTGTGTGTGTGTGTGTGTGTGTGTGTGTGTGTGTGTGTGTGTTCATTCAGGTATGCTTTTAAACCATGACAGTATTGTCCATATACTAATAAATACACAAAGTGATTCAGAAATACATTACATAAACTATAGTATTTTCACTCATCATAAACTTCCCTTAGTAAAACTTCATTTCTAGAAACAATTTTAGTGGTAAATAACTTCTGAACAAAACACAGTTTAAGAACAATAGTACTAAAATCTTATCTGGTTTGGATTGTGAACTGGTGAAATGTAAGTCAATAAGAATCTGTATTAATAATAAAAAGCTATTTCCCAAATATCTATCAGTCTAATATAAATGTCCTTGCATTTACAGTTGTCAGTGTGTTCATTTTTGTTTTTTGTGATGTGCACCACTATAAAATAAGGAGTTTCTACACATTTCAGTCTAAATAATTTTAAACCATATTCTCAGCTACTCATATCTACAAAACTTTTAAAAATCTACTTATTTCACTACGAGATAAGATGTGATTGAGTGTTTCAGAAATACCCAGACATCAGAAAGGGGTGTGTGGTTTATGGAAGAAAAAGAAAGACAGAGCAAAAAAAAGTTTCTCTGTTCAGAATTTATCATATGTATTAATAATATACAAATCAACATACTAGTAATGCTTAACTTTATTATACTTCTATACCTACAAAATCCTCCGTTTCTTGCCACACTAAGTACT